CCCAGGAGGCGGAGGTTGCGGTGAGCCGAGATCGCGCCATTGCCCTCCAGCAGGGGAAAAAAGAGCAAAAAACCACCTCAGAAAAAAAAAAAAAAAAAAAATGGAGAGAACAAACTTTCAAGGTACATTATAATACAGCAAGTGTGTTCCTACTGAACTACATGTGTGGACAGGAGTATAGAAGAGATACAGAAGAGGGAGCAGCCCCCTGCCTGGGGAATTAGGGCATACCCTCCTGAAGATGGCCCTTGAACAGTTTGCAAAAGTTGTGAGAAGAGAATTGTAGGCAAGAATACAGTATGTGCCTTGGCCCAGGAGCAGAATAGGACATGGCACAGCCTGGTGGTCGAGGAAAGAGAATTCAGTGGGACAAGAGGGTAGAATGTTTGAGGGGAGTTCTGGGAGAACAGGCTAGAGAAGTCATCTTGGGGCCTGGCTCTAAAGAGCCCAGAATAGGTGTATCCTGCTCAGAAATGTAGGTCTTATTCTGCAGGTAATGGGGTGTTACACAGGGATAAGCACTTGGCAGCTGTGTGACCCTGAATACCTTACTTAGTCTCTCTGTGTCTCAGTTTTATCATCTGTAAAGCACAGATAATAAATAATACCAACCTCTTGGGATTCTTTAGTTAATGTATGTATGTACTATCTAAATGATAGCTATTAGTTGAGTAGTAGTAATATTTTTTCAAGGTTGGAGGTTCTAAATTAATGTTTAAATCAGTGAATTTCTTTTCATCTTCTAGGAATGTGCTATTTCAAACACTGAAATGTAAATGTCCTGTTATTTGCTTTAATGCTAAGGATTTTGTGAGAATAGTGCTGCAGTTTTTCGGTAATGATGGCAGTTGGAAACATGGTAAGTTCTATTTTTTATTCTCTCTATAATTTAACTCTTCAACTGGGACTCCTCCTATGAATAGGAGAATGGTGAGGGCAGCCATGGCACACAACCCCTGCGGGACCTGAGCTCACAGACTGCTATGCCTCCTCACGGGCCGTAAGCATGGGGGGGCAGTTTTCCTCTATGTTTCCAGCTTATTTGAATTTTTACAAGTATATATTACTTTCATAATTTAAAATAGGAGAGAATTAACTTATGTAGCCTGGTCAGTGAGATTTGTTATTACCACAAATAGCTTATAAACTTTCTAAAAATTAAAGTACAGTCAAGAGTAATTAACGTCAAAACAATATAGGATTATCTTTTATTAAAAATAGTTAAGATTTTAAATACACACGTGCACACACACACACACACACACACATATATATGTATTTTTAATTTTTTGATTATTTTGTGGAGATGGGGCCCAACTTCGTTGCCTAGGCTGGTCTCAAACTGCTGGCCTCAAGCCATCCTCCTGCCTCAGTTCCTCCCAAAGTGCTGGGATTACAGGTGTGAGTCACTGCACTTGGCCTAAAATAGTAAACTTTTAAAAAACTAGATGGACACGGCTGGGCGCGGTGGCTCACACCTGTAATCCCAGCACTTTGGGAGGCTGAGGCAGGCAGATCACGAGGTCAGGAGTTCGAAACTAGGCTGGCCAACATGGTGAAAACCTCTCTCTACTAAAAATACAAAAATTAGCCAGGCGTGGTGATGCACACCTATAATCCTAGCTACTCAGGAGGCTGAGGCAGGAGAATTGCTTGAACCTGGGAGGTAGAGGACGGATGGGTGGTAAAACAAATATATAAGCAGTAAAAACAAATAGCAAAAATATTCGTTGTAGAATCTAGGTGGTGGACATATGTGTTCACTGTATAATTCTTTTCAAATTATCTGTATGTTTGAAAATGTTCATAATGAAAGGCTGGAAAAAACCCTTTTTATTGTCAAAAATTTCTAACACATGCAAAAGTAGCCATCACCCAGTTTTAACAATTATCAATTTTCAGCCAATCTTTTTTTTTTTTTTTTTGAGACAGAGTCTCGCTCTGTCTCAAAATACATATGTCTATTATATATCAGAAAAAAAATACTGTTTTTCATAGTGGCTGTACTAATTTACTTTCCCACCAATAGTGTATGAGGTTCCCCTTTCTCTACATCCTCACTAGTATCTCTTATTCCTTATCTTTTTGATAAAAGTAATTTTAAATTGGGGTGAGATGATATCTCATTGTGCCTTTCCTTGTATTTTTATTTATTTATTTATTTTATAAATAGGGATGGGGTTTCATCATATTGGCCAGGATTGTCTCAATTTCCTGACCTCATGATCCGCCTGCCTCGGCCTCCCAAAGTGCTGGGATTATAGGCATGAGCCACCATGCCTGGCCTCCTTGCATTTTTCTTATAATTAGTGATGTTGAGCATTTTAAAATATTCTTGTTGGCCTTTTGTATATCTTCTTTTCAGAAATGTCTATTCAAATCTTTTGTCATTTTAAAATCATGTTTCCCCCTATTGAGCTGTTTGAGTTCCTTTTATATCCTGGTTATTAATCCCCTGTCAGATGGATAGTTTGCAAATATTTTCTTCCATTCTGTGGATTGTCTCCATACTCTGTTGTTTCCTTTACTGTACAGCTTTTGCTTGATGTAATTTTATTTGCCTAGTTTTGCTTTTGTTGCCTATGCTTTTGAGGTTTTAGTAAAAAAAAAAAATTGCCCAGACAAATGCCCTGGAGCATTTTCCCAGTGTTTTCTTCCAGAAGTTTCATAGTTTCAGGTCTTAGATTTAAGTCCTTAAACTAAACTAGGAGTCTAATTTCATTCTTCTACATGTGATTTTCCCATAAACTTTCCCCAATATATATTCTTGGCACCTGTCAAAAATGAATTGGCTGTAAATGTGTGGATTTATTCCTGGGATTTCTATTCTGTTCCATTGGTCTATGTGTCTGTTTTTATGTCAGTACCATGCTGTCTTGGTTACTATAGCTTTGTAATATAATTTGAAGTCAGGCAGTTTGATTCCTCCAGCTTTGTTCTTTTTGCTCATGATTGCTTTGGTTATTCAGGGTGTTTGGTTCCGTACAGATTTTAGGCTTTTTGTCCAATTTCTGTGAAGAATGTCATTGGTATTTTGATAGAGATTGCATTTACTCTTTAATTGCTTTAGGTAACATTGATATTTTAACAATATTAATTTTTGCATTCCCTCACTTTTATTCTATGTAAGTCTTTATAAGTAAAATGGGTTTCTAGTAAGCAGGAAATAGTTGGGTCTTATTTCCTTATCCATTCAGCCATTCTGTGTCTTTTAATTGAAGAATCTAGTCGATTTACATTCAATGTTATTGGTAAGTGAGGACTTATTACTGCCATTTTATTACTTGTGGTTAAGTGATTTTCTCTGGTAGTATGTTTTAATTTGTTGCTTTTTGTTTTTAGTGTATTTATTATAGGTTTTTGCTTTGTGGTTACAAAATACAATAACAAATACACGAAAAATAAAAAGGAGCCTTACAAAAAACATCTTAGAGTTATAACAAGTTATTTTAAACAGATGACAACTTATCTTTATTTACAAAGAAGAGAATAGAAACAAATAAAGGAAAAACTAAAAAATGTCTACACTTAATTTCCACCCCCTACACACATTTTGACTTTTTGTGCCTCAATTGATGTGTTTTTATATTGCCCATCTCTTAACAGGTTGCTATAGCTATTAGGGTTTTTTATAGATTTATCTTTTAATCTTCATACTGGAATTATGAGTGGATTGCATACCAGAATTACGGTGTTAGAGTATGCTGAGTTTATGTATTTACTTTTATCAGTGGATTTTAATCTTTCAAATGTTTTCTTTTTTTGTGTTCATGTATTTTTCTTTCAGATTGAAGAACTCCTTTTAGCATCTCTTGGAAGATGGGTCTGGTGGTGATTAATTTCCTTAGTTTTTGTTTGGGGCTTTATTTTTCATGTTTGAAGCATAGCTTTGCTGGGCACAGAATTCGTGGTTGGCAGTTGTCTTTTGTTCTTGTTTTTTTGAGAAGATGGGGTCTCTCCCTCTGTCACTCAGGCTGGAATGCAGTGATGTGATCATAGCTCACTGTAACCTCAAATTCCTGGGCTCCAGTGATCCTTCTTCATCAGCCTCCCTAGTAGATGGTACTACAGATGTGTTCTACCATACCCAGCTAATTTTTTTATTTTTATTTTTTAGAGACAGGGGTCTCACTATGTCATCCTGGCTGCTGTCAAACTCATAGCCTGAAGTGATCCTCCTGCCTTGGGCTCCCAAAATGCTGAGATTACAGGTGTGAGCCCTTGAGCCTGGCAGTTTTATTTTCTTTCAACACTTTGAATATGATATCCCATATCCTCCTGGCCTCTAGGGTTTCCATTGAGAAATCTGTTGCCAGATGGATTGGAGCTCCTTTATACATTATTTGTTCTTTTCTCTTGTAGCTTTTGGGGTCCTTTCTTTGTCCTTGACCTTTGGAGGCTTGCTTAATATATGCATTAGGATAGTTTATTTGGATTTAATCTGTTTGGTGATCTCTGGCCTTCTTGTACCTGGATATTTATGTCTTTCTCAAGATTTGGGTTGGATGCAGTGGCTCATGCCTATAATCACAGCATTTTGGGAGACTGAGGCAGGCGATTCACTTGAGGTCAGAAGTTCAAGACCAGCCTGGCCAACATGGTGAAACCCTGTATCTACTAAAAATTCAAAAGTGAGCTAGGCATGGTGGCACATTCCTATAATCCCAGCTACTCGGGAGGCTGAGACAGAAGAATCGCTTTAATCCAGGAGGCAGAGGTTGCAACGAGCCAAGATCAAGCCATTGCACTCCAGCCTGAGCAACAGAACAAGACTGTCTAAAAACTAAAAACAAAAAACAACCAAAAAAAATTTGGGAAATTTTGTGTTATTATTTTTTGAATAAGCTTTCTACTCCTTGCTCTTGCTCTGCTTTATCTTGAACACCAATAATTCTTAGATTTGATCTTTTGAGGCAATTTTCTATACCTTATAGGTGTTCTTCATTTCTCTTCTCTCTTTTCTTTTTTCTCCTCTGTGTCTTTTCCAATAGCCTGTCTTCAAACTCACTGATTCTTTTCTCTGCTTGATCCATTCTGCTGTTGAGAGCCTCTAATGAATTTTGCAGCTCAGCAAATATATTTCTCAGTTCCAGGATTTCTGTTTGATTTTTAAAATTATTTCAATCTCTGTTAAATTTTTCTGATCAATTTCTGGGTTTTTCCATGATATTTTAGAGATCACTGAGTTTCCTTAAAACTGCAGTTTTGAATTATTGATCAAAGAGCTTCTCTATTACCATCCTGTTAAGGTCAGTCACTGGCTTCTTGCTTTGTCTGGTTCGAGGAGGTCTTGGTTGCTTGGTCCCGCTTGCTGTTATTTCTTTTGGATGCGTCTGTTTCTTTGCATGGAAGGATTAGGTTTTTCTTCCAATCTTCTCTTTCTGGCTTTTTTTTTTTTTTTTTTTNTTTTTTTTTTATTGGATGTGTTTGCTCAGAGATTTTTATATATTGTATACCTGTTGGAATATCTTTTCTTTTTTGCTAGGTCCTTTCTTCCTTTTTGTCACTAGATGGCACCTTAAGCCCAGGTGTGCCTCGGCTCTAGCAAACTTCAGAGCACTGCCCATCCCTGCTGAGGAAAGTCTGTAAGGGTATACCTTGACAGTATGGGAAGGCTAGCTGGGAGTTCATACCCAGGGGACATGTGGTACTCCTCTAACATGGTACAGCTGACCAGCCTCTTTGTTTTGGTGTCTCCTCTGTCCATGGTACAGAGCAGAGTGTCTGTGATGACATGTGCTTGCTAGAGTGATGTCTAACTTCTGTCTTTTTATTGTTTATTTGTAAGAATTATTGGCTGGGCACGGCGGCTCATGCCTGTAATCCCAGTACTTTGGGAGGCTGAGGTGGCCAATTCACGAGGTCAGGAATTCGAGACCATCCTGGTCAACATGGTGAAACCCTGTCTCTACTAAAAATACAAAATTTAGCTGGGCATGGTGGCACGTGCCTGTAGTCCCAGCTACTCAGGAGACTGAGGCAGGAGAATAGCTTGAACCTGGAAGGATGAGGTTGCAGGTTCTAGCACTCTAGAACCCATTGCACTCTAGCCTGGTGACAGCAAGACTCCATAAAAAAAAAAAGGTTTATATATTCTAATACAATTTGCAAATATTTTCTCTCAATCTGTGATTTATGTTTTTATAGTTTGTTGATGTCCTTTGAAGCACACTTTTTTTTTTTTTTAAAGGAAATTCAATTTATTTGTGTTTTCTTTTGTCATTTGTATTTTTGGTGTTAAATCTAAGAGACCATTGTTTAATTCAAGGTCAGAAAGATTTACTCATTTTTTTTCCTAAGAGTTTAATCATTTTCTCTCTGAGGTTAGGCTTATGATCCATTTTTAGTTAATTTTTTCATATGATGTGAGGTAGGGGTATGTATTAGTGTCCTAGGGCTACTGTAACATTACCGTAAACTGAGTGCTCAAAACAACAAAAATTTATTTTCTTACGGTTCTGGAGGCCAGAAGTCCAAATTAAGGTGTTGGCAGGGCCAGTTCCTTCTGGAGTCTCTGAGAAAAAATCCATTCTGTGACTCTCCTGCAGCTTCTGGTGGTAACTGGCGGTCCTTGGCACTCCTTGACTTGTAGACACATCCTTCCAGTCCCTGCCTCCACCCTCATGTGGCTTTTCCCTCTGCATGTCTCTATACATCACCTTCTTTTCTGTCTTTCACAAGGATACCCATCATTGGATTTAGGGCTTACCCTAACTTAAGATGATCTCATCTCAAGATTCCTACCATAGCTATATCTGCAAAGGCCTTATTTCAAGTAAGTTCCCATTCTGAGGTTCTGGGTGCAGACATCTTTCGAGGACCACAATTCAACCCACTGTTGGTATCCAACACCAACAAAGGTATCTTAGTACCTTTGTTGAAAATCAATCAACCATTGATGTATGGGTTTATTTCTAGACTCTCAGTTCTGTTCCACTGATCTGTAGGTCTATTCTGTGTCAATACTATACTGTACTGATTACGCATATGTCTTTAAGTGTGTAGTTTAAAGTCATTTTGAATTATAGTGTTTAGTGCTGTGTTCGTTTGGTTTTTTCTTTGAATTCATGTGTTGAATCTTCTTGCCTGTCTTTCATGTTTATCTTTTTGTCATATTTATCATTTTTTATCCAGAATCCATTTTCAGTCTCTTTCTTTTTAATTTTTTACAATTTATTTTATTTTATTTTTAAGTTCTGTTGAACTTGATTCCCAGGAGGCGGAGGCTGATCACACTACTGCACTCCAGGCTGATCCTGCACTGCAGCCTGGATGACAGAGTGAGACCCTGTCTCAGAAAAGAAAAAGAAGTGCCTGGGTGTGGTGGCTCACCCCTGTAATCCCAGCACTTTGGGAAGCCAAGGTGGGCAGATCAACTGAGGTCAGGAGTTCAAGACCAGCCTGACGAACATGATGAAACCTCATCTCTACTAAAATTACAAAAATTAGCTGGGTGTGGTGGCAGGCGCTTATAATCTTAGCTACTTGGGAGGCTGAGACAGGAGAATCACTTGAACCCAGGAGGCAGAGGTTGCAGTGAATCGAGATTGTGCCATTGCACTCCAGTCTGGGCAACAGAGCAAGACTCTGTCTCAAAAAAACAAACAAAAAATTCCTTCTTTTTCATCTTTTTTTTTTTTTTTCTTTAAGGAGTTAGCTATTCTATTTATTTGCTTTTGTGTCTTGCCAGTTTAGTTTTTATTTCTGAAATGTCTCTTTTTAAAATTTTTCTCTCCTGGGTTGTCTCATTTCTTTGTATAATTTTTCTTTTTCAAAGTTACCTAATTTCTAAGTATATAATTCTGATTTATTTATTTTTTCATAGCTTTTACTATTTACTAATATTTTTGAGCTTGTTTTAAATCTTATTTTGTTAGCATTTCTTTTCCAGCTACTGGCATTTTCTCCCTAGTGTGGGATTTGTCCTGGCAGACTTAAGTTTGTCAGTTGCAAGAGATTATAGGGACAGGACATTTCCCAGAGCATTCCTGTACTGTCACGGCTTCCCCAAGGATTTTTTAAAATATATATTGATAAGAACTGTTACTTTTGGAATATTAGATCATTGAAAAGGCAAGTGGAATGAAACAGTCCTATTGGGTCAGTCCTTATCACCAGACAGTGTTGTAGAAAATCATGGGCCGCTGACAGAGGTGGCAGGTAGCCAGGGGACCACTGACTCCTCTTATCCAGAGCTCCAAATGTGCCACTGTAAGAGTCTTCCTGGACCTCAAATGAGAAAGTTATAATATTGGCTGCTTGGTAAATAGAAATCTCTTAGACTGGTATCATTTAAATATGCTGGACCATATAATATTTAATGTTATATGATTTAAGACTATAGTTTTATTTAAAGGCAAACTCCTTATTTTTGTGTAGCACAATTCAGAATTTTAAAGTAACTTAAAAAGCAGTCACTTTAGGATTTAGTTTGTCTATTAATTTATAAACCTTCTCCCCATCCTTTTATGAATCTCCCTCCATGTCTAGAGTGTTCTGTTATAAAAACTTATCTGTTTAGCAAATACTGTGTTTACTTTTTAGAAAGTATTTTCTCATGTATATCACAGATAATTACAGTAATCTTTTCCCCTGGTTTTTGAATGAAGAAACTAACACTGAAGGGGAGAGGTGGCCTCCTAGGCTCATAGGGTGATTCAGAATCCAGGCCCAGTGCTCCTTCCACAGTACCAAGGTGCTGCATATTAGTTGTCTTGTGGATTTTCCACCCTTCAGGGAGAATGCCAAAGCGTCTTTGCCTTGGGGTGTCATGTACTCAGGCAACTCCTGCCCTTCTTCCTTTTGCTCCAGAGGCTTGGATTCCAGACTCAATGGTGCAAGACTGCCCAGTGAGGCTGGAGGAGGGGAGGACTTGGCAGAAAGGATGCCTGAGGGAAAGAGGAGCAAGGAGGAGGGGAGGCAGGAAGCGTGGCCCAGCACTCTGACTGACAGCTTTTAACATGTTTTTGAGAGATCCAAATTGCAATTGAGCTTGCAGACCCTTCTTTATGGCTATTTGAAATCTGCTTCTTTAATATGACACCCACAGAGACGGGCCACACGGGACTTGGGTTGGTTTAGGCTGCCTTATCAAAGGTTCTAAGTTCTGGAGAATGATGGAGAGTCACTTTGGTCCTTAGCTCTATAATTTGAGAGGATGATTATACTATTATTACTCATTTGAACTTAAGTATCTTGTCAAAGCAGGAGAAACAACTATTGGTTTTTCTTGGGATGATCGAATGACCTTTTTCTCTTCAGTTGCTGATTTTGTAGGGCTAGATCCCAGAATTGCTGCATGGCTTATAGATCCTAGTGATGCTGCACCCTCTTTTGAAGATTTAGTAGAAAAATACTGTGACAAATCCATTACGGTTAAAGTGAGCAGCACATACAGAAATTCCTCAAGAAACATTGTGGTAAGTTGTTTATGGTTTTATCAATCTGAATTCATACTATTATTTCTGGAAGCTTTTTCAATTTTTATTGATAGCCTAATAGTAAAAAGAACATTGTCAACATTCATTTTCACTTATTGAGCTATTCAGCACAAAGAGTTGTGACCTTGGTGTTTCTGGTAGAGGATATTGAATAAGAATGGGCGATGGCTGTTCTTCCATGGAACCTGTTCCAGAAATCTGTCCATAGTGCGACTCTTCCAGACAAGTCTCTAGTGTCAGTGTCACCTGCTCCATGAGCAGAAAGCCACTCATCAGTAAATTCTTAGTGCTTGTGATATGGCCACAGTGCCAGAGTCCTGGGATGGCCCCTCTTCAGTCTGTCTGGTGAGAATGGTCAGAACTGCCCCGGGTCTGAGGCTGGGCACAGTGGCTCACACCTGTAATCCCAGCACTTTGGGAGGCCAAGGTGGGCGGATCACTTGAGGCCAGGAGTTCAAGACTCAACCTAGCCAACCTGGCAAAACCCCCTCTCCTAAAAATACAAAAATGAGCCAAGCATGTGGTACGTGCCTGTAGTCCCAGCTACTCGGGAGGCTGAGGCAGGAGAATTGCTTGAATCCGGAGGTGAAGGTTGCAGTGAGCTGAGATCATGCCACTGCACTCCAGCCTGAGTAACAGAGTAAGACTTTGTCTCCAAAAAAAAAAAAGAACTGTCTTGAGTCTCTCTCCAGGACCTTCCTGGCTAGAGATGCCTCTGGTTATCAGGAAGCACCATCAGAGAAACAGTGGCACTCAAAACTTCTAGAATTGTGCCTGGAACCCAGAGAGAGACCTCTCAGCAGGCCCCAGAGGAGAGGTGTCTAGTGGTGGCAGTGTGGCCACAGTTGGGGCCACTCAGTTGAGGCTTTCTAGTTAGCTGTCAGTGAACAGTTACATGGTAAAATCACTGCTGGAGGAACACACAGGCTACTGAGCTAGCTCGAGCAAGCAGAACAAAGCCAGAGGTGACATGAGCCTGTGCCTGTGTGAGGCACCAAGCTGGGGCTAAGAGGTGACGTGAGCCCGCGCCATGTGCCGGGCACCGAGCTGGGGCTAAGAGGTGACGTGAGCCCGCGCCATGTGCCGGGCACCGAGCTGGGGCTAAGAGGTGACGTGAGCCCATGCTGAGCGCCGGGCACCGAGCTGGGAGTAAGAGATGACGTGAGCCCGTGCCATGCGCCAGGCACTGAGCTGGGAGTAAGAGGTGATGTGAGCCCGTGCCATGTGCTGTGCATTGAGCTGGGGGTAAGAGGTGATGTGAGCCCGTGCTGAGCGCCAGGCACTGAGCTGGGGGTAAGAGGTGACATGAGCCTGTGCCATGTGCTGTGCACTGAGCTGGGGGTAAGAGATGA